ACCTATATACAGATATGTCCCAGATTCCTATCCTCAGCCCAGATTTCTATAAGTTATAAACATGAACATACAGCTTCCATCCAGGCAGGCTGGTGCCCTTGTGTGCTCTATCTCAGTGAATGCACAAGACCTGGAAGTCAACCTTAATGCCTTCCCTTTCTGCACCCCCAAAGTTACTGGAGTCTACTTTCTAAGTGTGATATTATGAAATATATATTTGATCTTCCATCTTGTTTCCTGGCATAGGACCGACTCCTAAAATCCTAGGAATCTCCAAAATGATGTCTTTTGTATGCTAATGAGTTGACTGATGGCTGGCAGCCCCTAGGTAGCTCCAGGATGGGGCTGGTCACCAGAAAGACCAAGGCATGACTGGAGGGTTGGGACTTTCAGCCCCACTTCCTCCCTCCCAGTACCAGAGGGGAGAGAGGGTAAATCCACCACCAATGGTCAATGATTTAATCAATCAGGTGTATGTAATGAAGCTTCCATAAAAACCCAAAAGGACTGGCTTCAGAGAACTTCTGGATAGCTGAACACATGGAGGTGCCTCGAGAGTGGTTCCCCTGGAGAGGGCATGGAAGCTCTATGCCCTGTCCCCCATACCTCGCCCTAGGTATCTCTTCATTTGTATCCTTTTTTAACAATATCCTTTATAACAAACCAATAAATTTAAGGAAGTGTTTCCCTGAGTTCCATGAGCCACTCTTGCAAACTAATCAAACCTGAGGAGGGAGGCAATTTATAGCCAGTTAGTCAGAAGCACAGGCCACAACCTGGGGCTTGTGATTGGCATCTGAAGTGGGGGAAGTCCTTTGGGACAGGGCCTCAGCCTGTGCGACAGATGCTATATCAGGTAGATAGTGTCAGAACTGAATAGGATTAGAGGACATCCAGCTGGTGTCCACTGCAGAATTGCTTGCTTGCTTGATGGGTGGAGAAAAAAACCTACACATTTGGTCACAAAAGTCTTCTCTGTTGTATAAAAGGAGAGGAGAAATAGTTTTGAGTTTTTCCAGTCTCAGACTAAGTACCTTTAATAGTCATTCAATTTTCCAATTCCATCACCCCCATCCCAAACCAAGTTACCATCATTTCTTGCCTGGACAATGACAACAGTTTCCTATGCGGTCTTCTTGTTTCCATTCTGAGCCTCTCTAATCCCAAGCTAATTACATTATTCCTCTGCTAAATATATGGCAATGTCAACTTTTCATAACACTAATGACAAAAACCTCTACCAGGCCTGCAAACCCCTGCCTACCTCTTACCCTCTCATCCAGTGCCACTCTCTTCCTTCATCTTTGCTCCAGAAAAACTAGACGTTCTTGAGTTGCTGCAAATTGCCAAGCTCCTTCCCACCCTGGGGCCCTTGCTGCCTGGAATATTCTTTTCCCCTTCTTAGTATATACTCACAGCCCAGTTCCTTTCTTAGGAACTGGGCCTTCTCTGACCTTCTCTGCCTTACCTGCAACTAGGTTAAGTTCCTCCCACCTGGCTGTCTGTAGTTTTTCCTTCAGAACACTTACTACAATTTGTAATTATGTTTATTTCTGTAATTATTTATTTTATATCAATCTCTGCCAAGAGACTGTAAGCTCCATGAGGGCAAAGATCTTGTCTGTTTTCAACCACTGTATTTCCAGCAGCATGCTCACTGCTTGGTACAAAAGGGTAAATAAATGAAGATATTTAAAGGTTAACTAATGGGACATTTAATATAGTTTACTTCACTCTATGTACTAAAAAACTACCACAAAGCATTAGAAGTATAGTGAGGTAATTTATATGCAAATGTACCTAAAATATAATTCCATGATTCTATAAATATATTTGATAGCATAAATAGTCCCAATGAAAATTTTACAGTATCTTAATTACAACGTAAATGCCAAATGATGGAATCAACCTCCATACTAATCTATGTATACCATATTGAGAAAAAAATACTATTAACACTATGGATCAAATGTCAGTTGGTCCAAAGAAGATATACTCATGGCCAAAAGCACAGAAAAAGATGTTCAACATCATTAGTTATTAGAGAAACACAAATCAAAACACAAGGAGATGCCACTTCTCACCCACTAGGATGGCTCTAATAAAACAAAAAACAAAGAGGAAAATAAAAAGTGTTGGGGGAGGATGTAGAGCAATAGAATACTTGCTAATGGGAATGTAAAATGGTAATGCCACTTTGGAAAACAGTCTGGCAGTTCCTCAAAAAGTTAAACATAGAATTACAATATGATCTAGCAATTCTGAGTACATACACAAAAAAGTGAAAGCAGAGACTCAAACATATATTTGTACACCAATGTTCCTGGCAGCATTATTCACATAGCCAAAAAGTTGGAATAACCTAAATATTCATTGACAGATGAATGGATAAATAAAATGTGGTATTACCCACAGAATATCCAAATTAATGCCACTGAATTGTACACTTAAAAATGGTAACTTTTAGGCTGGGCATGGTGGCTCACACCTGTAATCCTAGCACTCTGGGAGGCCGAGGTAGGAGGATCACTTGAGGTCAGGAGTTCAAGACCAACCAGAGCAAGAGTGAGACCCCATCTCTACAAAAAATAGAAAAATTAGCTGGTGATGCATGCCTGTGGTCCCAGCTACTCAGGAGGCTGAAGCAGGAAGAACATGTGAGCCACGAGTTTGAAGTTGCAGTGAGCTATGATGATGCCACTACACTCTAGCCTGGGCAACAGAGTGAGACTCCATTTCAAACAAATAAAAAAAGGGTAACTTTTTTTATATATATTTTACTATGATTTAAAAGAACCCAGTACATGAATAATCGTAGCAGCATTATTCATAAAAGACAAAAAGTAGAAACAACTCAAATGTCTATCAACTGATAAATGGATAAATATGATACATCCATATAATGGAATATTATTCAGCAACAAAAAGAATGAAGTACTGATTCATACTACAGCATGAATGAACTTTGACAATCTTATGCTAAGTGAAAAAAGCCATTCACAAAAAAATCACATAGTATATGATTCCCATTTATATGAAATGTCCAGAATAGGTAAAGCTGCAGAGTAGATTCATGGTTGCCTAGGCCCGGAGGTAGGGAGAGGGGATGGGGAGTGACTGCCAGTGAGTACAGGGTTTCTTTTTTGGATGATAAAAATGTTGTAAAATCCACTGTGGTGATAGTTGCACAACTCAGTGAATGTAGTAAAAACTATTGAATTATAACATACTTGAAATAGGTGAAATCGTATGGCATACCAATTACATATCAATAAAGCTGTTATTTTAAAAGTTTAATGAGGTTAGAACAACAGGGTAGTTCTTTGGCGGAAAAAAACTGACCTCCCTCTTTATGCCATCTGAAACTAATTTTGATAATTAAAATATTTAAACTTTTTAAAAAAGGAACTAT